AAGTATCATTATATGCATGTGTATGAATAGCAAGCTAATAATAATAATAATATATCTTTGAAGTATACTGGAAAAGCCTATGCCTATTCACTAATTTGTTTTTATAGTGCTGGGATCAACCCTCAGGTCTCACACATTTGAGGCACTAATTCTATGACTGATCTATAAAACCAATCTAGCTTTAAGTTAATTTATGGCAGCACCTATATTTTACTAATAAAGAAGGTAAACTTCTGCTTGTGTTTGATGCCTGTATTTTGTTTCATTTTGGTTTTGGGCTACACCCAATGGTGTTCAGGGGCTATTCCCGGCCTTGTTGTTGTTGGGTGGGGGTGTGATGTCAAACCTAACAATTCTGGGTGGAGGGTTCAGTGCCAAGAATGACACTGGGGTTCCCTCTTGTAAAGCAAGCACTCAGCCTATTGAGCCATTGCTCAAGTCCTTGATCCACAGTATAATGGGATAATTATGATCCTAAATCTGTTGGCATGAAGCTAATAGGTAAGATTTGGTTTTATAAAGGTTTGGGTGTTGGAACATTGTGATTGAAATCTAATCAAGAACAACTCTGTACCAGTGTATTCAATAAAAAGGGAGGGGGGCAGATTTGGTTTTAAGGGCCCAGTGAGGTAGTACAGCAGGTAAGGAGTTTGCTTAGCATGCAGTCAGTGCAGGTTCAATCCCCCACACTTCTTATGGGACTCTGAACTTCACCATGTACAATCATTGCAGAACCAGGATTAAGCCCTGAGCAACACTGGATTTGGCCCCAAAACAATACCAAAAAAATAGTTAAGTGATATGCCTAGCTTTAAGGCAAAAAATAGCACAAAAAGACCTCAAATGTAACATTTTTATTTCCTAAGTTTTGTTTTTGTTTTACCATTTAAGTATTTTTAAACATTTTTAGGACCAGAGGGATAGTGCAGGGAGTTAGGACACTTCCCTTGTATGTAGCATATCTGGGTTCAATCTCTGGCACCAACCCAGATGGTCCCCTGAGCCCACCAGAAGTAATCTCTGAGCACAGAATCAGGTGTGGCCCCAAAAAACAACCCCCCCAAAAAAGACACTTAAAATATTCTATCAAAGAATAGCTAGCATGAGTCTTTCACTCACAAATTTGTATTAATGAGATAAAAAAGTATCAGATGAGGGCCAGAAGATAGCTCAAGGGCTGAATCCCTGATCCTACATGGTTCCCTGAGGACTGTGAGATGTGACCCAAATTTTCTAAAAGAGTATCACAACAAACATGATAAAAATTACTTGTCGCTATTTTCTGAATTGAACGCAACAAACTCTGTGGAAATTCTATGAACCAGGAACTGTTCTTGCATGGAGCATACAAAAATAAAACACTCTGCTCTTAAGAAGCGTAATGACCAGTGGGAGAATAAGTGCCTAAATCCATCAATAATTTCAATAAAACTGGAATAAGTTTGCAGAAAAAGCAAAGGTTCATAGCCTAGGGAAGGAGGTGAGGGACTGGGCAGTCAGGGTAATCACCCAAAAAAGCAGGAAAAGATCCTCCAAAGTCATCAGCCTTTATGCTGGTGATGCCTGAGCAGCTCTGAAAGAAAAGAGAACCAGGTAAAGAACAGAAAACTCTGAGCTAAGGCATGGAAGCTAAGACATTCAACCACAGCTGAATGAAAGGATATATGAACCGAGGCTTTTACAAACTGAACTAGGTTCCATTAAGACTCCTAGGATTCCAGTGGCTTTTGGTCCTTTAAGTTTTTCTCACTTTATCCTTTCTACTCATAACAAAGGACCAGTAAATTCTACCACCTGGAACTCTGTGAGTCTCAAACATGGAATTCACAGGAGACCAAGAAATGAACAATGGCTACTGCAAAAAAAAAAAAAAATGAAGTGAGAAGCTGACGCTGACATCAAGGATGCATGGGAATGTTTCATGTAGGGGTTTACATTCTACATCCCCAATGAAAATATGCCAACTATTAGCATGTAGTCAGAACAGTGGTCCAAGGAGACTGCAAGAGAGTTGTTTCAGGCTGGAGAGATAGTACAGCAGGTAAGGCGCTTGCCTTGCATGCCATCAACCGAGGCTCAATCCTTGGCATCCCATATGGTAACCCAAACACTGCAAGGAGTGATTCCTGAGTGCAGAGCCAGGAGTAACTCCTGAGCATGACCAGAAGTAGTCTCCCCTCAAAAAAATTGTCTATGAAAATATGAATGGATAAAAAATGTTTACAAGCTAAAGGAAAGACCAATGATACTGCCTTTCATTTCATATTAAGCTGTAAAAATACTACTTTGAAAGGATTTTTGTAGCCCAAGTTCATAATAGTATTATTCTAAAATATAAAATAGTCAGATGCTCATTGAGAGATGTCTGGATAAAGAAGCTTGGTATACACTCAGCAGAATATTACTCGGCCATTCAAAAGAGGAAAGCATGCCTTTGGAAACAAAATGGATGGAACTTGAAGAGATTATGCTAAGCAAGGAAGTGAAAGACAATTACTACATGGTTTCACTCATGTGTAAAATGTGAACAATTAAAACAAATGAACTGGCAAAAAAACAAAAACAGCAAAAATAATTCCCAGATTTGGTAAAAATCATGGTAGTTACCAGAAGGTATGATGAGGGTGGGTGGGAGAAAAGAGGAGAAGGGTCCTTTGGTGGTAGGCTAGTGGAATTCTGCTAGTGAGAATGGCGAGTATTACACACATTTGGAGAGGTGAAGCGAACTCACAAGAGCCCACAATATTCTAAGCCACTGACGGGTCAATAAAACAGTAAAAATAAACCAGCATTTGGGTCACTGATTTGTGATCCACAAATCAGCGGAAAATAAAAGTATTCCATCAAGTATCCTATTTTCTTACACTGCCAAGAAAGGAAATATTTTACACTCTAGATCAAATATCTATTCTAACTTGACACCAAAATATTAGAATAATATTGAAATATTTCTACATATCAAGCATATAGAACAGATCACTCTTAGGTAGCTCTAATGAACTAGATATTTTACTCCGGCAAGTATTGTCTTCAAAAACCTGATGTTTAATATAGTTTATGTCACATCATTATTTTTTTTAAAGAACTTAAGTGAAGTTTTCTCAAAAATACACCATTTTCACATTTCTCTATACACCATTTAATTCTATGGGCCTATAAATTTGATCTAGTAATCTAGTTATCTAAACTCACAACTCATCACTAGTCTGTTACATCTCTTACCGTCAGTACGTTATGAGCTAAATTCTACATATTTTTATTCCTTATTCAAAGTCTTCATCAAGGCATTAATTTCCTAAATTATGCTATTCAGTTAATAATATCTTTGTTAAAACAAAGAATTATACTAATTCTAACATTTCCAGAAAAATATTACTGTTTCCATAGATTTATAAGATTCTGCACATTATTCTTGAGATGTGATACAGACAAAGTCAGGAAAAGATAACTGAAGTACTGATTTAATTCACAAATTCAGAAATTAATTTAAAATTTAAAGTCTAAGAAATTTAAATCATTTAAAAAGTAAAGCATTAGAACTTTTTAAAATTTATTTGTTCAGCATGTACAGCAACTTGATTTTTTCCCTTTCCTGTGTTAAACAACACTTCAAAAATAATTTTAAATATTCAGTTTTTTGCTGCTTTTTAAACCCTAGTGATTTAAGAAAGTAAAAGCATAATTTTTCATAAGAGAAAATGTTTGCATCATTATTCAGAACTATCCTTTTTAAAATTTCTATATATACACTAAGTGCATACTTGCAAGACTTTTCATTAGGTATTGTACTCCAAGGGAGAAAATTTCTGATTGGGGCAAGGAAAATAAACTGAGGGCCGGAGAGATAGTGCAGGGATTAAGGAGATTGCTTTTGCACATGACCGAGCCCTGTTTGATTTCCCATACCGCATATGGCTCCCTGAGCACAGTCAGAATCCCTGAGCACCGCCGGGTGTGGTACCTCCACACACACACACACACACACACACACACACACACACACAAATTAAAAGCACACCTATATACAAAATGAGGGTTTATATCACAACTCTGCCCTCAAATTTTACTATGGAACAAAACTTTACCATCTATATGTATATCCTGAATCCCAAAGTATTTCATCGACTTTAATAACTGCGTATAGTCCAGACCCAACGATGCCAAAGACGAGAGTTCATTGGCAATAAGAGATCCTTCCATTGTTATGAAGAAAATGTGCTTGGTCTACCAAAATAATGCTTGAGTTAGGTGTCAGTGTTGCAGATTAATGGAACGATTCCGTTTCTCACGAACTGTTACCAGCTCTCCCGACTTGACAGGCATCTGCGATTTTCAACATTTTAGAAACACTTGTTGAAAACAACAACAGTTGTGAGCAATTCTTGCTCTGGTCAGGAAGTACATATTGAAAACAGTTTTGAGAGGGATAGTTTCATGAGTCTCAAAATCAATTCAAATGAAACTCTCCATGTGGGCCTGCCCTTTTGCTGTGGCGAAAGAACCACCATTGGGAGATCGAGTTCTAAGGGCCCACGCAAGCGGGCCAAAATACTTCTTACAAAATATCTTCCCAAAGTACCTTTCCTAGGTGACAGCATTTACCCTCGGAAGAAAAAAAGGAGCCAAAGAAAACCCAAAAGAATTAGTTATTCCAGCCTAGGTTCAGCCAGTTGGGCTCGCCCAGTAACTCCTCTTCCTCTGCAGACTTAAAAGTATACCCCTCGTGTCTGACACCCTATTCCCCAGAAATAAAACTGCAGAGAAGGTAGCACTTTCCAAAGTTGGCCGCGGGTGCGGGGCTGCAAACGAGAGCTGAAACCCGACGCGCTCTCTCGTGCCTCCTGTTTACTTTTGAGAAAAGAAATAGAAGCAAAACCGAGATACAGGAGGCAGCTCGGTGCCCAGCGCGAGCCAGTCGAGCTTTACAAAGAGCCCCCCTACCCCCCACCCCCCCGAGGCAAAAGCAAAAAGAAAACGACGCGGGCCCGAGGCTCACCCACCTTCCATGTCTCCGCCGGCTGCGCTGGAGCCGCCTCTCTGCTGCCCCGACGCTCCACGTGCTCCAGCCGTGGGCCCGCGCGGCGCGCAGCAGGCGGGAGATTCCCGGCGCGGGGACTCCCCGGGATCTGTCCGCGCGTCGGCGCAGAGCGAACGCGACAGGAGCCGGAGACCCGCCGCTGCGCGGGCTTACAGCGGCACTGGCTGGCGGCCGCTTTGAAGCACGCCCGGGGTTCCGCGCCTCCAGCCCCCCTTCTGAATGTCAAACCTGAAAACCCTATAGGATGGAAATGGCGCATCAGTCGATTGTTTCCCAGGGTCTATTTTTGAGAGGATAGTGAGCCAGAGTAGTACAGCGCGGAAGGAGGGGGTGGGAGGGAGATCGGAATTGCTTTCTTACAAACTCAAGTTCAAAGAAGCCTGATCTTTAACTGAGCCAGATCTGGAACATTTGGTCTAGACTGGAGGATGATAGCCAAGAATACCGTCAATGGGAACTCATTTAATTTCGAAGTGTTGCGTCTGCTGGCTCTCCCCCGCACCCTCTTCCCCCCAAAAAAGTTCTTGGTCTAAGTTTTTAAGAAGTTCTCCCACCGCTTAAAAGGTATTTGGACATTTTATTTTTCAGCTCAACTTTGGCAATTTTTGGAAGCTCTTTTCTCACTTTTGTATTTCCTTCTGGAAACTGCGTGGTTTATTTGCCAGCGTCCACCACGAACTCTGTTTATACGTGTTTATTTCCCACTAGCCTGCCTTCTTCCAAATAGGAGCTGGGACATCCGGAGAAATTGCATATATAATGTAAACAAAGTAAATAAAGAAAAAAAAGAGTTCAGTAGAATATAGTAAATATAGCAGATACTACCATACAAAGATCCAACCGTCAAAAGCTTTCCATCATCTTTCCAGCTTTTGGAGGTGAAATACACATTTGCCTGAAGGGAGAGGAAAAGGGAATTGACCACACAATCAATTTTCAAAAGCAACACTTGGGGGGATGAGGAGCGGGTTTCAGGAGACTTTGTTCAGGTGAGTATCTATAAAGAACTGTTTGTTTTGCTGAATGATAGAGGAATGCATGTCAAAAAAAGCTACTGAAAATCTGGTTAGAAAATATAGTGAGGGGCTGGAGAGATAGCACAGCAGATAAAGGACTTGTCCTGCACCTAGCCAACCAGATTTCAATCCCAAGCATTCTATATGGTTCCTGAGCCCCACCAGAAATTATTCTTGAGCACAAACCCTTGAGTAATCCTTGAGCATGACCCAATGTGGTCCCAATACACACATAAAGACTCGAAAGAAAAAGTATAGGGTACAAATTCATTTCTGACTTAAAGGCTAGAAGGTATGTCACAAAACACAACCAAAGAAACCCATTCTTGGGAGTTAAAGCATATAAGTTGCAATTTTGTGAGTTTTAGTTTATTTTAAATAGTGACTTGGTATGGGAAGTCAGCTATATATATTTTTTAACCTATTTGTATATTTAGACAGATATACGTATCTACACATAATGCATATTATATATACATTTATACATATAGAATACATTTTATCTGTGTATCATGTATATGAAGCGTGCATAACTTTTAAATGAGACAAAGCCTTGTGCTGGCTTTGTTTGAAAATCATAGCACTAGGGAAGCATCTCTAAAACAGGTGTGGGTTGGAGTTCTATAGGATATTATCAATTTCAGAGCGTAATACTCTACACTCTAGGTCTAATTTTAGTATTGAAAGGGGAAATTTGTTGTTTGTTTCTAAAATCAAAAATAGTACATCAAAAGTAGAAGAAGAGGAACTGTAAAATTTAACAGGGATGGCTTAGGATGAATATTTGATTATTAAAAATTGTTACAAACTCTTGTAAAGTAAAATCTTCTGTTTTCTTCTGCTCTACTGTTCTCTATGCTTAACAGTAGAATGTGCATTTACTATTTTGTGAATAATTAGTTTAGACTGGAGTATTTCATACTCCACAATAGTGATACTGAAGAAAATAGATGAAAAATAGATGGGTGAAGTAATTTAGTAACTACTCCCCACCCTTAAAGCAGTGGAAATTAAATTCCCACCCATTATGTATGAAATTCACATGACTGCCCTTAAAAGACTACCATTAAAAAAAAAAACAGAAAAAAAGGGTTACTTTTATAATGGGAAAACATGGCCAACACTATCAGGTAGAAAGGCAAACTGCTAGTAAATACTCTTGAAATGATGTGATGAGAGTGTCACCTTACCTCTGTCAGCTTCCACCCCAAACCCACAACTCCTGCCTCAATGAGTAAAAAACATCAAATTCCAAGAGAGAGAGACATTCTGCAGTTCTAAACTTTTTAGGTCAAGTAAAGGTCATCAAAACTGTGACTGGGGTTGGAGAGATAATATAGGGGATAAGGCACTTGCCTCGCACGCCATTAACCCGGATTCAATCTGGCACCCCACATAAACCCCTAAGCACTGCTGGGAGTGACCTCTGAGTGTAGAACCAGGAATAAACCCTGAACACTGTTGGGTGTGGCCCAACTGGTCCCTCTGTTACCCCCCCAAAAAAATGGTCGCTTCCCATCAGTCATTAAAAATAGGACCATCTGAGAAATTGTCCCAATTAAGAGGAACTAAAATAGAAATGGCAACATAAATGTGGGATCTTGAATGGGATTATGGCGCAGGAGAGAAAAAAAGAACCGGATCTTGGATGGGATTATGGCACAGAAGAGAGAGAGAAAAAAAAGAACCTAGGCTAAAACTAGAAAAATCTAAACTATGTGCTTTGCTTTATAGTAATAAACCAATATTGGTTCATTAATACTAAGAAATTTACCATAGTCATAATAGGATGGTCAACAATTGGGAAACTAGGTAGAAGTACATTGAGAACTCTCTTTGCAATTTTTTTCCTATAAATATTTAGGTGTTCTAAAGTAAAATTTATTTATTTTTAGTTTGGGGACCACATCCAGCAATGACCAGGGGTTACTACTGGCTCTGCACTCAAGGATCACCCCTGGCCTGGCTTGGGGGACCATATGGGATGCCCAGGATTGAATGTGGGGTGGCCTCATAAAAGGCAAGCTCCCTACCCACTGTACTATTGCTCTGGCCCTAAAGTAAAGCTTATTTTAAAAGAACGAATAATGTTTACTTTCAACAAATTACTGCTTTATTTTGGTCAGTCTCTTCTCATAGTATTTAATGTTTATCACATAAAACTTACAAATTGATCCCGATAAAGATCAATCTCATAACCGGGAAGCTAATAAAACCCTGACTTCTACTAAAACTGGGTAACAAAAATCTTTCCAGGGAATTGAAGAGAATGCCTGAATCTGTCTTCACCATCACCATCATCCTGAGAAAGAACCAGTAAACTATGCACATAGACCCTGTAACTGACACAGGTGGATCTTACTCACTGAATCACACTGTGAGCCTTGGGCTGTGTAGATATAAATAACAATGACTAAAAATGAAATCACTGACAAAGGTTTCTCCTAGGCCATCTGAGAAAGTCCAATCACTGACTCGGCTCACAGGAAATAAAACTGAAAACTCTTGATCTCACCCAAAATAATCATTTTGCACCATGTCTGCAAGTTGGGCTCATCCCACTCAAAACCAGTCTGGTGATGGGGCAAAGCAACAGGACAGCGGGGGCGGGGAGCTTGTTTAACAGAGGACTCACCGGGGTTCAATCCCCAATACCATATGTGATCCCCTGCGCCCAATACTACATATGATCCTCAGTGACTCCTGAGCACAGGAGTAAGCACTGAGCACAGTCGGATGCTCTCTCCGGACCTACCCAAACAAAAATCACAACCAAGGTTTCTCTCACTGAGAAACACAGCACATAGGACCTATTGGTGGACGCGAAGAAGCCCAGGAAATCAAGGCCTTGGTCTCCTGGGGAGCATCTGCTGTTGCTCCATCATCCCCACCGGAAAAGCAGGCTGAGGGGGGCATGGGGTTCTACCTTCCAGTTGGCACCCCTCCCCCTTTTATAAAAGAAACGTTCTTTCACAGCCCTGGAAATCTTTGCCTGGTGAATGCCAGTGAGGGGCGGGCCTCTCAGCATCACCTGACACGTGAAGACAAAAATAATGAGACGTGCCTCTTGAACGTGGAGGTCTGGCGCGTCCTTGTTTCCTACCCATGGATAGAATGCAATGGGTGAAAGTTGGCACCACGCACTTCATCGTTCCTGAGAAGAAAGACCTAGAACATTCCTACGTGGGGGCTCTCTGTAACATCTGAGGGGGAGACGTTCACAAACTTCTCTCTCCCTCAGGTCTTAATGTAATCAACTTCCTCTCTGCCCAACCCTGCTATTTGTCCCATCTAGCATCTCCCTAGGTTCTAGATTACAAAAGTACATTTTCCACATCTCTCCTTCCTTCAGGAAAAGAGGCGCGGGGAAAATGGCGCCGGCCGGGAGGTGCGAGGCTCCCGCACGACGCTGCCCAGCACGTGGGGGCAGGGGGCGGGGCTAGATCTCCAGCCCCGCCCACCACACGCGCGATTGGTGCCAGAGTGCGCCTGCGCTCTCGGGCGCATCCACTGGCAACCGGTAGAGCTGCCGACCCCCTCCCACCCTCCCGGTGGTTTGCTCCACTTGGTGGGGAGATGGGGAGGCGTTGGGCTGGGGCTGAGGTTGGAAGGCTCCCACCCTGCGACGCTAGCCCATGAGCCGTGATGCGAGCAGCGTGGGTGCTCCTTGCCGCGGTGCTCTGGTACCTCACAGGAGGTGGGGCCCCTCCCTCCCGGCCCTCCACGTTTCTCCCAGCGTGACCCGCCCTGCCATCGCTTCTTCGGTTCTTCGCCCAGCCCTGCCCCACTCTGAGCCCCGGCTCCTCTTCACCCTAAAACAGCAGTGGTTTCTTTCCTCCGCAGTTTCGTGGCCACGTTTTTCCGAGCGCACTAAGAAAGGCTTCATTTATGGCAAGGTCACAGAGCCAGGTAATAAGCACCTAAGGGCGCTCCACACGTCGCTAAGGTCCGGTGCAGTGCAGGGAGAGGGAGCGATGGTGATCCACCACCCTCCACGCGCTCTGCACTTCCCCAAGGTTGCACGATTTGTGTCCTTGCAGCAGC